TTCCCCCGGCGCCGGCGCGGTCGCTCTCCGTGACGTCACCGCGGGGCCTGCGCGCCGGTCGCCGGCGGCGCGGGTCATGACGTCAGGCTCTGTCGCCATCTTGGTGAAGGAGAGCTCGCTGGGCCTAGGGCCCACGCAGTCACCAGTCATTTCTCTTTTGAAAGCGAGTCTTTCGTCACATTCGCATCCCCAGGGCTCAGCGCTACGTTGAGGCACCGGGGCGGTGGTGGCGCTTCACGTAGAGGCCCAAGTACACGGCATTGCCTTTACCAAGATGTCGCTGCCCGGAAGAAAGATGGCGGCCGCGGCCTCACAGGCGGATGGTCCGCCAGTTTCAGTGCCAGGACTTGCCCGGCCTCTAGGGCGCGCGCGAGGTCCGCGCGGAGCCCGAGGTCCGGAGGCCTCCCGGGGCGTCGCGGAGGGCGGCGGGTGCAGGCGCCCCTCGCGGCCCTGCTCCTGCACGGTGAGGCCTTGGTGAAGGTGCCTTTGCACCTGTCACCCCGGGGGACTCCCAGGCGGCCGTCGGGCGCCGGCCTCGCGCGCGCGAAGGCCCGGGTTCGAGTCCTCAGCACCACATGCTCAGAAAAAGCCGGACGTGGCGCCGTGGTGCGGGTGGTAGAGCACCAGGCTTGTGCACAACCGCTCAGGGAGGGACGGCGCCAGGCCCCGGGTTCATGCCCCACGAGCGACAAAGAAATAAAGCAATGAACAGCGGGACTGCCGAAGACAGGGCTAAAGACAACGTTAAAAGTTGCTGGTTACCAACAGCAGAAGTGACAAGGCTTTCCTGGCCATTGTGTCCTCTTAAGGTCAGATGTGACAGGTCAAAGGGCACCGACCGTCATCTTCCCAGCACTTGGGCGCCTATGGGGCTCACACACCTGCCCCAGGACTCTGCACACAACACGTTAGGACCGCTGGAAACGAGTTTGTTTTTCCAGAGTTTGCTCAACTCAGAGATTTCCATATAGGAAGAGAGGCAAAGGAACTCTGGCGCTCCTGGTCCACAGCGCTCTGCACCCTGAGCTACAGCTCCACTTGTGGTTTCTGGAGGTTACTTGGAGATCAAAGTCTCCCGGACTTTCTTCCTGAGCTGGCTTTGAGCTACGATTACAGGTGTGAGCCACCAGCACCTGGTCCTTTTATATCTTGTTCTACTCTGCTTTAGAATGACTTTCCCAGTTTGCGGCTTAAGCAACAAGTACTTTCAATTCATGTATTTCAGCTATTTCTTCGCTTCCCAGGTAAACCTTCATTCCCTCCGAGTTCAGACAGAAGGAAAGGGGGAATTAGAAATGGAACTAATCAGCTGGTAAGCTGATTAGCTGCATTGACTGGGTAGTAGGCCTTGTGAGTCAACATATTCACACATTTGGGGCCCAGCTTTCTATCTGAGCTGTTCTCTGCTACAGTCACTCACAAGGGGCTCAGGGTCCTGGAAGGACCAGATTCACCGAAACTGACCTGTTTATGTGAAGGTGTTTCAAAATTAAGATTTTAAAAATTAACTTTCAAAAATCATTAAAAAAAAAAAAAAAGAGCCCATCCTGTGATGGAAAAGGAATGCAAACTATGCCTGCACTGGGCAATGAATGCCATCTTTTTTTTTTCTTGCCAGTCCTGGGGCTTGAACTCAGGGCCTGGCACTGTCCCTGAGCTTCTTTTATTCAAGGCTAGCACGCTACCACTTGAGCCACAGAACCACTTCTGGCTTTTTCAGTGATTCATTGGAAAAAAGTTTCTCATGGACTTTCCTGCCTGGGCTGGCCTTGAACTGTGATCCTCAGAGGTCAGCCTCCTGAGTAAGTAGCTGGGATGACAGGTTTGAGCACCTGTGCCCAGCTCTGGACCACAGGGCACAACTCCAGGTGTCATGCACATTCAGTGTCTCAAAACCCCCATCTGTCCTGGTAGGCTTCCTTGTTTGCAGAGGCCTCCAGTGTGGACCCAGCCTCCCGCCCTGGGCCTCCCCCTGCAGGACCCCAGATAGCTTGAGTCACCTGCAGCCTCTTGTCACAAAGAAAAAGCAAATGTTTGAGCTCTGGTGGAATCCAGCCTCCACCCTGGGACCCAGTGGGGGCCCCTTGGAGGCCCAGCCCTGGGGACACGAAGCTGCCCAGGCCCATTTGCTCCCAGGGCTGACCTCACTCCACTCAGACCAGTCCAGTCCCTGAAAGGCTGCAATTTTCCTTTCAGCTGATAGGGACAATCAGGGGACCAATTCTCTACATTAAACACAAGCATGAAGGCCTCAGAAACACAAGCATGAAGGCCCCAGAAGGCAGGCTCACACCCCACCCAAAGCAGTGGCCCCATCCCTGGCGCACACCCCAATTGCCATTTATGTTTTGTCTTTGCTTTTTATTTGTTTAAATCTCAGGTTTCCCATTGTTGTCCAGGCTGAACTCTCGGGCTCAAGCAATTCTCCAGCCCCTGCCTCCTCAGCTGCCTCCCAGTGCCTGGCTTGCACACATTTCTTTTTGTGGAGTTTGACCTCCATGGTTCTTGTTGGAGAAGCCGGATTTGGTTACTTTTTCCTGATGGTATCTTGCTTTATGCCTGGGCTGTGTCTTCCTCCTAGCTGGCACCAACAGAGCTAGCTTTTGCTGTTAAGATGGGGTCTCAACAGAAATAGTGTCGCTTGGTGCTGGTGGCTCCCACCTGTCATCGGAGCTACTCAGGAGGCTGAGATCTAAGGATTGCAGGTCAAAGCCAGTGGGGCAGGAAAGCCAACCATGAGATTATTTTCAATTGATCACAGAAAAGCTAGAAGTGGTGCCATGGTTCAAGTGGTAGAGTGCTACTCCATTTGTTTGTTTGTGCCAGTCCCGGGGCTTGAACTCAGGGCCTGGGTGCTGTCCCTGAGCTGCTTTTGCTCTACCACTGGAGCCACAGTGCCACTTCCAGCCTTTTCTGTGTGTGGTGCTGAGGAATCGAACCCCGGGCCTCATGCATGCCGGGGGAGCACTGTACCACTGAGCCTCCTTCCCAGACCCCAGAGTGCTCCTCTCAGGCGCGGAGCCCAAGGTCCAGGACTGACAAAGAAGGGGGGGGAGGAGGGGGGAGGGAGGGAGGGATCAAAGGTCCCGGTCCCAGGCAGCTGGGGGCCCGGGGTCTGGGGTCTGGGGAGCAGCGAAGGCCGGCGTGTGGGAGGCGGGAGGAGCCCGGAGGGAGGCCGAGCCTGGCGGGCCGTGCTCCCCGGAAGACCCGCAGCCCCTTCCCCGCGGCCGCCCCGCACCTGCAGCCTCCTGGGCAGGGGAGTGAGAGGACCGAGGACCGAGGACCGGCTCCCGCTGCCACGGGAACAGGAGAGACGCCGCCTCCGCCGG